CGAGAGTGGCGAGTGGCGGGGAAAGCTCGATCCGGACGGAAAGGCGACCGCCACCGCCACCGCCGGGATGACTGGGATGCGCCGCCGTGCGCCGCCGTGAACGTGAAAGTGTTGCTGGCGTCTGGGAGGACGTGCGAATGCGAATGTGAATGGCGGGGTGCGCGGGGAGGCCCTCCAGTGCTTGCTTTCCGAGGGAGTCCGAATGCGAGTCCTGGGGCCTCCGCCCTGGCCGCGTCCTCGAAGGGCACCACACTGCACAAAGGACCCATTGGCCCCCATTGGCGGGCGTCCTTGCGGTCCTGGCGGGTCGTTGCCCCCCGGTGGGCCCTGCACGCTGGATTCCGAACAGCGCTCTGTCTCTCTCGCACCCATGGGGCGTCCCGTAGGGGTGCGAGAGAGACAGAGCGACGAAAAGCCGTGCGGAATGGCTGGGGTCGAGAGGGGATGGCGGGCGGGCATCTGCATTCTTGGCGAGCGGCGCCGCGCGCTGCGCGCTGCAGCGGACGAGACCAGGTCCGCCTGACCTGTCCGGCTCGGCTGCCAATTCTAAATGGCGATCCAAGGAAGCTGGGGCCGGTGGCCGATGATTGGTTCGGATAAGGGCAACGGCAATCCTGCGGGTTGGCCGCGTGCCCCGAGTACCGCTGGAGTGTTCCTGGGGCACCTTGCAGTGCTACGGGGCCCTTGCGCCAGCCTTGTGCCCCGGCTGCGTTAGTGTGCGTTTGTGTGTGTGCGCGGCCGATGGCCTGTGTGCGCGTATCTCGGGCCGAGAAAAATGTTTGATGGTCTTTGACCCCCTGGCGTTCCCCGTACGCGCGCTAGATGGCCGCGTCTGATGGCGCGCTCATCACCCGTGGATGCCCGCCCCCGCCCCCGCCCCGCCCCCCCGCCCCGCCCCGCCCCGCCCCCCGCCCCGCCCCGCCCCGCGTCACGCCTCCCGAGCGATTGACGAAAACGTCGGAAGCCTGTCCGCCGGGCGTTGCCGCGTTGCCGGGTCATCCGAAGTGAAGTCCATCACTCCTCGGCCTCCAGAAATGGATGAATGAATGAATGAATGGCGCCGCGGGTCTTTCTTCTTTTTTTGCCGCCCGGATTCCTGATTCTTGATTCCAATCTCCCCGCGGCGCTGCTGCAAATATCGCTTTCTCGTTGCATCCCCGTGTTCCCACCATCATTTCCATTTTTCCCTTCCCACCGCGGCTTGGCCCCGCCGGCCGCATCGCCGCCCCGCTCCAGAAGGGTTTACACTCAGGTGGCGCCGTCGGTCACTTTTTACTTATTTTTTATCGCTCTTTGTCCGCGGTGTGCGCACCGCGTACGGCCCTGCCCGACGTTCGTTGGGGTGAATTTCTCATCCCGACGGCGGCGGCCGAGCCAGTGGGGTCGCTCGCGTTCCGCCCACGCCTTGGCTTTCGCGCCAATCCGCCCGACTCGGCGGCAGGCTGAGAGTGGCTTTCGTCGCTCTGTCTCCCTCGCACCCACGGGCCGTCCCGTATAGGTGCGAGAGAGACGCAGCGACTTTCGTAATCAGTTGGCCGTGTGGCTTATCGCTGGGCTGCCTGGCTGCGTGCCGGACCGGCTAGGCTGTCTTCGAGGGGCGTTACTCGGCCTGGCTGCCGCTTCGTCATGCTCTGTCTCCGTCGCACTCGCGGTGCGTGTCGGAGGGCGCGAGAGAGACAGAGCGCTGTTTAGAATGAGCCTGCTCCGGGGCCTCCGGGCGGCCGGGCGCGCGGTATGCGCCCCGCTTCCGGTCCGCGCCATCCTGCGTGCTGCGTGCCGCGTGCCTGCACCGCGTTACGTCCAGCGCGGGGCTCCTGCAGGGGGGCGGGGGGCCCGTTTAGGCGCGTTTGGGGCCCAAAGGCCCCCAATCCGACGCTTGAAGGTGGCAATGGTCCCTCGGAGTCGTGGATCCACTGGTACCATCACGAGCGAGATTGGCGGTCCACTGGGCGGCCGCAGAGTGCGACCGGCTGAATCCGACTGGTGGTTTACTCGCTGTCCTTCTCGCACGCAGAGGGCGTTCCGTTGCGGTGCGAGAGAGACACGGCGACGGAGCGGCACTGGATGAAGGCGGCTGGCGCGCTCATTGGGCGGGCGACGGCGTCCCCCATCGGCGCGCAGGCCGCGTGCAGGCCGCGGCCATGCGACGAGGGCACGACCACCAGTTCTCATGTAATTTGTGTAATTGCCACCATTAACGAGAGCAGAGCGAGCAGAGCGCCCGCCGGGAGGGAGGCCTCGCGACGAGCCACGCCGCGACGCTGCGACGCCCTGGTGTCCACTGGTGTCGCGCAGCCGGGCTGCCCGCCAAAGCCATGCGAAAGGAAGCCTCAAGCAATACTGGCCCTTTGAGGGAGCACGATTTACCACTTCGGATGGCTCGTCCACGATTTCTTATCGTTTGGACCGAAATTCTCGGCAATACTGCTGCAAAACTAAGGCATGAAATCGCACTCCGTAAGAAAGGCATGCTCAAGGAAGGTCCAAAGACCACCCACCCGTTGAGGGAGTGTGGTGTTTTTCGCCTTGGATTGGACGCAGCGGCTGCTCAAAGTCAGCGCAAACAGTGATTTCTACACATTTGTCTGTGTTTGAAGTTTGAAGTGATTCTCGTCTGAAGCTGAATTTTTTGTTGCCGGAGGCGCGGAAGCTCTGTTTTCAATCACGTCTCCTCCGTCTCTCTCTCTCCCTCTCGGCGTGCCCGTGGCCCGGCCGCGGCCCCACTAATGCAGGTGTAATAATTCCAGCCCGCATTCCTCGTTATTCTTTTGTTTTCTCTCTCTCTCTTTTTGTCGGTGTACGCACGGCCTGCGTAAAGCAGGGCAAGCAGGCACCACCGGCAGCGCGGCAGCGGGCCGACCACTTCACCACTTCTCGCTGCCGGCCGCATTCCTTTATTAGTTGCTTTTCTTTATTTCCCCCGTCGGGAAAACAGTGGGAAACAAGTTGGACAAGTAAGTGGCGTCCGACCCGTGCCGTGCCAGCAGTGTGCCAGCAGTGTGCCTGCAGTGTGCCTGCAGTGTGCCTGCAGTGTGCCTGCAGTGTGCCTGCAGTGTGCCTGCAGTGTGCCTGCAGTGTGCCTGCCCTGCCCCGCGCCGACGCAGGCCGGCCGGCCGGACAGGCCGAGCTGGCAGGCAGGGCCCCGTGCTCGTCTAGGAGGACTATAAGTAGGTGGGGACTGGAAGCTGGCGCGGGCACGGCATGTCGGGCTGCTGTATCGGTGTTTGGTTTGGACTGCGATACCGGGGCGACGGCTGCTCTCCCCCCCCTCCCCACGAATTAAACGGCGTTACTATGTAGTCGTGGTACAGTAGTGCAGCGCTCGCAGTGCTACACTGCAAAGGCCGATGTTGGCAGTGGTGCGGCGCCGTATGGGCGTTTGCCGGTGGTAGCGCCCGTCCGCGGTGAATCGACTGCCGCGGTCTTGAATGAAGAAGAAAGAAAGAGACGCCAGTGGGAGCAAGGAGAGGGGGAGGGGGGGGGGGCACGCTCCGGCCGGCCCCCTCCTGATGATGGGGTCGGCGGTCGTCTGTAACAGGTGTCGGCAGTGTCGGCGCACAGGTGTACAATTTGTGCCTCCTCCCCCCACACAAGCCTTCCTTCTTGGCTTTTAGTCATTACGTTTTTTCATTCGCCTCGGCGCTCCTACCTGAACCACGGCTGCGCTTGGTCGCTGCATGTGTGTTTCCGTCTGTTTGATTGCGTGGAGTAGTGTGTGTAGTGCCGGTGGCGGCGTTGGGCGCACTCACTTCCCAATCTTCCGATTGGGGCGTGGGGCGCCCCGTGTGGGTGCGAGAGAGACAGACCACAGACCGACGGCGCTCTGTGGACGCGGGGAAAGGACCCACAAGGACTTCTCGCCCTCGCCACTGCGTGGCACTGCGTCGGCCGCACCGCGCCGGACGTCAGGACGCACCGCGTCGCTACGCGTCGCGACCGGCGAACTTAATTTTACGTTTTAAATGCAGCGAATGCCTCCGCCGGGCCTCTAGCCGGGCCCCGCCCCACCTTGCTGCATCGTCCAGCCGGGCCCCACCGTGAGACTTGTAACGATGCGCGCGCGTGAGAACTTGCAGCAAACCACGACGCCGCGCCGTCCGCCCCGTCCGCCGCCACGCTCGTTCTGCTCCAAGACGCACGCACTGGCCGCGTGTCCCTCGACCCCTCGCCTCGCCCGGCCTTCCCGGCCTCGGCCCGCATGCAGAGCAATGCAGGGCAATGCAGACGGACGCGTCCCGAAGGAGTGACTCGACGCCACTCCGAGTGAGCGGCCATGTCATCGGACTCAGGCTCCATGACTGTGTGTGCACCTGCAAGGGCAAGTGATGCGAGTTGCCCACGATCAGGCCTTTGGGAAATCTACCAGGTACGGGAGTGGTCGCACTGCTTCATGCACGTCTGTAAAACCTGTGAAACCTGGAAAACATTTGGTAAACCAAAAGCCCCTTGTGAAACCTAGGCCTGCTCTTGGAACGATGTCGGTTGTCGCGGAGAAGGAGTGGAGTGGCGAATGTCGCCTGGAGCAGCGCCAGCAGCGCCCTGCCTGTCCGGTGGCGGTTCCACTCGGCTTGCCGCGGCCCGCGGCCCTCTACTCGTGGGAAACGGCCTGGGCCTGCACTGCACTGTGCAGGCCGCAGGGCGACGACGGCGAGGTGCACGGCTGCACCGGAGCGCGTCGGCGTGGCGCGGCGCTGCGCGGGGACGTCGCCGCTAGGGACGGCCTGCCTGCCGGGCCTGTTGGCCGCTAGCCCGTCACGGACACGGTCACGGCCAGGACGGAGGGGAGCGGCGAGCGGCCCGGAGTTGCGCCAGTCGCGGAGCGCCGGCCGAGCCGCGCGGAGAGCAGTCCGGAGAAGCGCGTGCTTGACTGCTCGGCGGGGGCGGACCCAGCGCCATGAACGCAGCGATGAACGCCGCGGTGCGTCCATGTCGGCGCCAAGGCTGCGCCAAGGGGGGTGTCTGTGGGTCTGTCACTGACGTCGCGTCTCTCTCTGTTGCAGTGTGCCGAGAATGGCTGGTGCACGAGGACGGCGCCCTGGCCTACAAGCTGCAGAAGGAGGAAGGTGAGTCTGGTGTTGCGGCATCGCCGGCCATTGCCCGTCGCGGTGCGGTGCTGCGGTGCCGTCATGGTGTCGCGGTCGAGTCCTAACCCTGCCTCTTTGCGACAGGCGGGCTGGGGCCGGTGTTGTTGGCCGGTCGGCGGTTCGGCTAAGGTTACACTCATTGTGGCCGGCGGGCCGGGCCTCACTGTGGCCTCATGGCCTGCGGGCGGACTGCGGCGAGGCGAGGGACCTCTACGTCGTTGACTCGGTACAGTGCGGTGTGTGTCGCGCGTCGCGCCATGTGCTGTACAGGGCTTGCTGTGCTTGTGTCCTCGGTGCCGCGGGTCGCGGGTTTGGCCGCGGGGTGGGGGAACCGCAACAGGTCCTCTCAGTAGCGTCGTCGTCGTCGTCGGCTCAAAACTGTGGCAAGATGTTTAACTGGCTACTCGGCTGACGGGCCTGACGGGGACCAGCCCAATCGAGATGGAAGAGTGGCGGCATCCTGGTCCGATGCCCCGCGCCTCCGTGGAGGTCCCCGTGGAGGCCGCGACCCCGCCGTTGCCGCCAGCCGCCGTCCTGCAGCGGCATGGCGTCGGCGCCGTCCGCCGCCACCGCCGCCGCCCTGGAGGAACTGCCGGGCCTGCCCCGCGCCGCCGCGACCCCGTGCAGCGCGCCGTGCGCGTCCTGGTGGCGGAGGTGCGGCGCCTGCACGAGGTCCTGCTCAACCAGACGCACTCGTTGAAGCGGGCCGGCGCGGACGCCACCGCCGTGCACAGCTTGGAGCGCTCGCTGTGCCGGGAGCTGCAGGGGCTGCGCGGCGCCGTGGAGGGCCTGGCGGAGAGCCTGGACGACGGCCTGGACGGCCGCGCTGCGGGCGCTGCAGGTGACGGCTCGCGTCGTGCTATTTACATGTACACCCAGCTACGTCCACATTGTCCACATGATAACGGCACTGAAGCTTCTAAGGAGAATGCTTCCCCCACCCCGTCTCCCCGGCTGCATCGCTGCATCGGCCACCGCTTGCGCTACGGCGCGGTGCTCCCGCTGATTTATGCACTCGTTGATCGTCGCTTGTCTGCTTTGCGTGTTGCGCCCTTTTGCCGCTAACAGATTGTGTTTCCGTTTTCTTCCAGTGGAGCAGCACCTGTCGGGCAACAAGACCCGCAACGCCGTGGTGCGGCTGGACACGCCGCTGGCCAAGAGCGAGCAGCAGCGCGAGCAGGAGGAGGCGCTGGCCAAGTACCACCAGAGGGTCATCGAGCAGTGAGTACCGTGCACCGCCACACAGTGGGCCAGAGGACCGGTGGAGGCGGCCAAAACTCCAGACGCGTTTTGAGCTCCAGAGTCGCTAAATAGGCCTCAAACCGAGCGTGTGACCCCACCAATGGATTGCTCTCCGAACGAGGAATCCATTGGTAGGGTCACACGTGCGGTTCGAGTCCCATTCAGTGTGACCGCCTCCACCGGTCTTCTGGCCCACTGCGCGCCGCGAGAGTAGTTTCGACACTCTGTTTAGTCCAACTCTGACGGTTTCGCTCTGTTGCCCGCAGGGAGCAGTATGACGCGCAGGTGGCCAAGCAGCTGGCCGCGCGCATGGAGCGGGAGGAGCAGCTTCGGAGGATGCAGCGAGAGCAGCAGGACGAGGAGATGGCCAGACACCTGCAGGTGCGCCCCGCACAGGGCTTCGCACAGGGCTTGGGCCCCACCCTTCAGGGCCCCTCAGGCCCCCTCAGGGCCCCGCACCGCAAGGGGCCCTGGCTGCTGCTATGGCTAGCGCCGCTAGCGCACGTGTGGTATATGCTTTGCTTTTCTTCCTAGTTCGTAATCGACCAACGGCCGCAGCACTGCCGACTCGCGCGGGGCAAGACGTCGACTGGTTATGGGTTTCGTAACTTAACTTTTGAGCCATCTTTTAGCGTCCGTATTTCCCATACGGATGAACAATAATAACAGGATGACAGTTTTCAGACACTCTGCCAGGAATATTTGCTATCCTGTTATTTCTTCCAACGCTGGGCATTCAGAAATTTTGGACGCTAGAAGGTAGCTTTAAAGTCATGTTATGGATTTCTGTAAACGGTTTATGTCGCCATTTGGAGCGGCTCGGCTCTGCTGTGGCTGGTGTAGCTGCGTAAGAATGCATTCACTATTGTACTATACATTTCTCAGTTTCTGGTGTGTTTTCAAGTATGTGATTTTTTTACGTGTAAATAATCTGCTGAATGTGTGTTGTGACTCAATCTTCCACTTAATGAACTTGCACCTTTCCCTAATTCATGCAACAGTGTGGGTTTGCTCGAGCAAGTTCTAGTTGTAAATAATGCATGGGTACTGCTCGCGTGTGTGTCTCCACTCATCACTCCCTTGCACAGTGTGCGAGTGTGGCTTGGATGAACATTTCCTAAACGGCATTAAGCACTCTTAGCTTGGATTTTCGCTTCAGTCACAACCTATTTGTACAATGGTGTTCATAACTTTGGACCATAACTTTGGCGTTGTTTCGAGAAGGGCGGAGTCTCACTCGGGCGTTTGGTTTCGTTGCATTCCAGGAGAGGGAGAAGGTGAAGCTGGAGAAGGAGAGACGAGAGCGCGAGCGCCTGGACGCGGAGTTCATCCAGCAGCTGCCGCCTCAGCAGATGCACCGCGCGCACCCCCAGCACTGGCAGCTGCAGATGCAGATACCGCCGCCGGCCAGCCGGTCCCCGGCGCAGCTGCCCTCGCCGACCACCTCGCCGCACCACTCGCCGCAGTCGTCGCAGTCCTCCCAGTCCAACGGGCAGCCGCTGCCGCCGCGGCAGCCCAAGCCGGGCACCAACTCCAGCCCGCTGTACAACCACCCCCCGCCCGTCAGCAACATCCGGGCCTACCCCAAGCCCGCCACCTCGGCGGCCGCCGCCTTGATGCCCGACCAGCCGTACGGGCACGGCGCCGCGGCGGCGGGCTGCGACCAGGACGTGGCGGGGGCGGTGGGGCCCGCCAGGGGGGTGAGCCCCGTGAGCCCCGCGGCGGTGGGGCCCGCGGCTTACGGTGGCCACTTCTCGCACACGCCGCCGCGCGCCGCCAGGCAGCACCACGGCCTCGGCCACCACGCGCAGGGCCACCACGGCCTCCGCGACGTGGACGGCATCCACAGCATCAGCCCGGCCCCGGAGGACGTGGCGCAGCAGATCAGGTGGGCGTCTCTCTCGCACTGTAAGGCGTGTGAGGGCGAAGACGACTCTCTGCAGCTCCTGGTGCTGACGGTTGCCCTCGCTTTGCAGGCAGCTGAATCTCTCTCGCCACGTGCCGATGTGCGACGACCTGCCCTCGCCGGAGGAGCTGTACGAGGAGGAGGCCCGCCGACTTCAGGAGGAGAAGGACGCTGTGAGTGGTGCTGCTGGCATTCCGTCAATGTTTTTCCACTGTGCCTCCAGGTACCTCCAGGTTCCATGAGCGCGAGCGTCTGCTGGCTTCATCTGCGAGAAACGTCGCTCACGGCCGTCAAGTGTCATCTCCAGTGCATGTGGTTTTTATATCATGACTAGAGTGACACTCGACGACGGTGGCGACAACCATTCGAGACGTCCGTCCATTGAAGAAGTGTCGTCAACTTTGTGCATTCTGAATGTCCTCGTTGCTGGTTCTGATTGGCTGGTGACTAACACTACTGTCTCCTTGATTCAGGAATTCGCGAGGCTTTTGCAAGAGCAAGAGGAGCGAGAAGGAGCTGACGGCATTGACAGGGATCGCTTGCTGGCCATGGAGGCTCAGGACCAGGAACTCGCCAGGATGCTGCAGGATAAAGTAAGTGCAGGGATTCGACTCATGTTCTCAGCTTTGCGACCTAGAGCCCCACTCTGGATCTCTGTTTGAACCACCAGGCACCAGCAGAACCCTACTAAATGCAGTGTTGTTTGTTTCAGGAGAAGGCAAAGCTTCGGAGGGCAAGGGAGCGCGCCAAACAAAAGGCTCTGTTGAAGAAACAGCAAGAGCAGCAGCAGATGGACGGCTCTGGCGCGGGTCCTTCTGGTGCCGGTCCCTCCGGCTCTGGAACATCGTCCCCCTTGTCCCCGCATCACCCCCCACTGGAAGACGAGGAGGGGTGCTACAGCCTCCCACATCAGGGATCCCCAGTTCCACCACATCCTACGGCAGCTGGGAGCAGCTTCGAAATGGCCAAGTCTGCCTCAAAGGGACGAAGAAGGTAACATATCAGAACTCGCAAGGCAATTTTTATTTTACTATGTAAGTTGAATTTATTATGGTAAATGGCACTGTCTTCATTTTCTGGCAGGTTCCCAGATCCAGAAGCTATCGAAGAACTCCCTTCTCCTGGCTTTACACCACCAGGCACAGTCAACGGCACAAATGAAGCTCTCCGGAATATTGCTATTGTTATCGACCCAACTTACCCAAGACGATCTCCTCCTAATGTTGGTGGAATAAGAACTTCTCCTGTGAACACAAATAATCAGCAAGGTGTGTACTATAGTCGTTTTGGTCCCATCCATTTTCAGGTCTTGCTCTCAATTGTTAAATTCATGTTGTTTGTTCAATTCTTCTTTCCACAGATTATGTTGATGAGGACTGTACCAGCCCTGCACCCCCTTACATGCCTATTCAAGGACAAAGGAGAACTGCTTCTTTAGAAAAGAAAGCCAAGAAGAAGGCACCCAAGGATGGCTGCAAGCAACAGTGATTTAGTTTATCTATGCTTTTCACTATTCAGTATTTCCAGTATCTTTGTAAATTTAAGCTGTTATCACTGCCATAAGTTTGTTCAATTCTCTTTCTAAGAAAGGAAGAGAGATTTAAAAAAACTGAAGTATTTTAACCATCTGATAATTCTAGTCAACATTGTACTTGTCAAAGGAAGTACATTGAATCATTTGTGTATTTGTTAATAACCACTTATTGTTACATTCCTTTACCCTGGAAAGGCAGTTTGCAAAGATTTATTACATGTTTTGTCATGTCATTTTAAGTTCTTTTCAGTTTGGATTTTACACTGACGTCTTATTTTGGCATGCATACCCAATTATGCATGTTGTAGTATTCATTACTAACTCAAAAGAACTTGCTGACAAGTATTTTTTCTACACAGTTTTGTTTGTGTAACTTCACTCTAATTGACTGGCTGTTTTCTTTTGACAGCATCAAGGGTGTATTGATGATAAAATCAAACTACTCTAGTGTTCTTATTGGAAATGAAAGAAAGTTTTTATAAGCCTTGACTATCCTTATGTCGTTTTTTTGTTATTATCTTATCTGAACAGTCTACTTAGTGGTGTTTTGCAAACAGGTACTTAATAATGTTCCGTCTAGTATTCCGTCCATTTATGCTAAGTGAATTATATTCAGGGACCAATATTGAGGGTATTCCTTTTATTCTGTTCATTGCGTGAGAGGAACAGCGTGTTTTTCTTAAAAGACAGTATTTGGGAGATGAGGTGTGTTGTGATCTCTGTTGATTTTTCTTTATTTTCTGGAGTTTTATTGGAATGTTCTTCCCTACATATTAACAAATTTCACTAATACAGTGTCATTTGTTGCTTTCCTTTTTATGAAAAGATATGCAAATCTACCAGAATGTAAATTTTTTTCATCTATTAAAATTTTTAGAGAGGCTGGGGTTGACCTACCCCTAGTGTTGTACATCCATTGTTTGTATTTGAAATTTCTAGTCTAAGAGCCTGAATATCTACAACTCTATTGGTTGTAATTGATCAGTTTTTTAAAATAATAATGAATGGATTGTTTTAAAGAAATTTTTTTGGGGTCAGATCAAGAGATGCATGAAATTGTGTACCACCTCCACAGGAATGAGCCTTTTCCCCTCTGCTCATTGCTCATGTGTATTTTAAGATGTTCTCTAATTCGGTGACAGTGCTTATATCCAAGGGTTTTCTCTGAGCCATCTTCATGTAGCCTTGTACAAAAAATCTCTGAAAATGGGCACTTTGCCTGGGGTTTGACTTATTTTGGAGGACTCGGACTCATTTATTATTTCATAATTGTTTGTGCGTAATAGAATGACTTTGAAATGCTATGAACAATCTTCTTAAATACACAGATTTTACCAAAACGACTGTTTTGCTCCCTTCTTACCTGCTCCCGACAGACGTGCAATGCACAGTGAAAGAGACAAGAGGACGCAGCGCGCGGGGCGAGGCCAGGCGAGGCAGGGCTGCTGCTGCACACTGCTGGCTGGGGGCGGGAGAGCGGGAGGGCTGGGGCCGACGGGTGGGCGGTCTGGGCGGTCGGCACGGCAGTCAGTACGCGGCGCGGCGCCGGCATGGCAGGGAGGGAGGGCCCAGCGCCGCCGCCGCCGCCGCGCAGCCCCACGCGGCCCAGGGCGAACGGCAGCTCGCGCGAACCTCCAGCACCCCCAGCCTCCCGCCGGCCAGAGGGGCGGACAGGCCGCGGAAGGCTTTGACGCAGACCCTCCACGTGCCGCCCTGCCCGCGGCCCTGCCCGCGCAGGCAAGGCCTCGCAACCCTGCGGCGGCCTGGCCAAGCTCTGGGAGGCGAAGATGAGATCGGCGCGACTGACGGCCGCCGAGTCCCCGACGAGAGGCCTCCAGGAGGTCCCCGTCGGTCCTTGGAGCCACGCCGCCGTCGACGACGCTAGAAGCCACGCCGTGGTGCGCACCGAGAGCGTCATCCGCTACGATGGTGAGGGTCGTGCTGTGCGGGGTGCGGGGCTCGATGGCGCTCGTACTCCAGACTCCGAAGCAACAGTGTGTGGGTGGATGCCGTGTGGGAACGGGCGGGGATCCTCCTCGATTCCCTACGAGCTAGTTTGCATTAGGTACCCCATTTTCGCAATTTTTAATTTCGCCAATTTTCCTTTACTAAGATTTACTCCGTGTCAACTGTATTTTTTTGGAGGGGAAGAACAATGTTTTCCTTTTTCCTGTTTCTGTCTTTTCGATTGGAGTGTGCGGGCGGCGTGGAGGAGACGGAGCGATCCTGACGACAATATTAGCAATTCGCCGTCGCTTGCACTATCGCGGACCCCTGTCGGCCCGGAGTGTAACGGTCAGCACACGGGACGACGCATTGGCCGGCCCCACGCCCCGCCCCGCCCCGCCCCGCCCCGTGCAGTGGTCAGGGAGATAAGGAGGGCTTAGCTCGGGCCACGCTGCCAATACCGGCTCGCAGCATTGTTTGTGTGCGCCCGGGACCGGACCGGGCCGGGCCGAACCATGACCCTGCCTTAAACGTTCTATTACTCGCAACCCACCGTGACGCCAAAATGGCGCTCCCCAAACTGGTTCAAAATGAAACCGTAGTCCGAGCCCCTGCCGTGCGCCGGGATAAAGTGTCACCTTAGTAAGGACGGCCATGTCTCGTTTCGCAGTGCAGGCGGGCATGTGTCGGGCCCGAAATGGCATACGATCGTGTGTGGTCTGGCCCTTAATGGTAATGGCAATGGCGGGTAGGCACGCCGTGCGCGGCCGCGTGTTGCGGGCTGGCCTACCCCTTGTTCCGCAGGCGCTAGGCCGCCAGGCGCTCGGGAAGTGGAGTGGATCTCGCAGTGCTGCCAGTGCGGTTTACAAGTACTCTGGAGGCCGAAGGTGACAAGAGCGCGTTCCGTTCCCTTTTCCAGTGCGCTGGAGGCTTGTGGAAGCTCTGGGAGGCGTCGCGATGACGCGAGTAACGACAACGGCATGCGGCGCGGGGCCCAATGGCGGGGCCGCGTGGCCGCGGGACGGAAAATTAACGGCCCACCCCTTACCCCTTTGTGCGTGCTCCGTTTCGCTCCGTCACTCTCCGTACTTCTTGTTGCGCCAACTTTCCCCATTAAGAGGCGGGAAAAAATAGCGGAAATCTGGTCCGAGGCCGATCCAGGCCGCGCACGGTGGGCCGGGAGACCGGCGCAGGGCGCCAAAAACTCCAGACGCGTTTTTAGGTCCAGAGTCGCTAAACAGGACTCGAACCGAACGTGTGACCCCACCAATGGATTGCTCTCCGAACGAGGGATCCGTTGGTGGGGTCACACGTTCTGTTCGAGTCCTGTTTAGTGACTCTGGAGCTCAAAACGCATCAAGCGTTTCGGCCGCCTCCACCGGCCTTCTGGCCCACTGTGCCGACCCAGCCGAAGGGGAGATGCTTTGCGGGAATCGGCTGCCTCTTCTTCCCGCCGGACTGGCGCGGCCTGGCGTGGCTTGAAATTGAGTTGCAGTGCGGCTAGTGGCGGGAGGGAACCGTCGCAACCAGAAACCGAGAGACGGAAACCTTACGGTGTAATGACGGCTATCCAGGCTGCTGCTGCGGGCGGCCGGTCTGTGCGAGCTGGTGCATGGCGTGGCGTGGTGGGGGAAGGGGTTTTCCAGTCTCGGCGACGTGGGGCGGGGCGGGGCGGGGCGGGGCGGGGAGATGGCGCGTTTCTGCCCGTTCCCAGCCATTACCCCGGCAATGATGGTAGACTCGCGGTTCCTGACCCGCCCCCACCCCACCCCACCCCTCACCGCCGGGCCGGCCCAGCGTGCCCTAACACTCCATGACGTTTATCTACGCTTCGGCCTAACCTTACGGCCTGGACGTCCGGAGGGCTCGTCGCCGCTCTGCACGGTGACCCACTGCCTGGTCAGAACGAAGACGTTGCCTCTTTTTTACTCTTTTTTACTGGTCCCCTATTAGACTCATTTGGTGTGTATTCTTTCAGGCCTGTTGTGTTGTTAACGACACTCTTTGGTGATTACTGCAAGTTTAATAATTACTCGACGTTAGTTTCACTTCACGCTTCTCTGTGCTAATGGTCGTGTTGACTCAATGTTATTGGTTTCTTTTTTCTTCTTCAGTCTTCTTTTGTTATTCAGTGTCGCTCGCTGTGAACCGCTTCGCTGGAACCCAACTCTTCGCTCACTAAACCGTTCTGTTTCTTCTCTGGATTCCAGAATTTTCCCTCTCCACACGCCCCTGAAAGGCCGTCATGTAAGTACTGGATATGTTTTCTCATGTAAAAAGTGTCGTACGCTATAGGTCAAAGAGAGTCCTGTTTGTTTACTTTAAATTTAAATATCCTTTTTTATGTTTGCAAATCGTGCTTCTGCAGAACTGCACCTTGAGTAAGCTATGTAGAGAGTTCGATTTTTAATTTTTAATGGAAATTTCTTCTTAAACAAGGACAAAAGTGACGTGACTGTACCAGGTGCAAACCAGGTACAAAAGTTGTAGCACAAATTGAGAGCGAAACATCTTCCGGGTAAAAATGAGTGACCCGGAGCGAGCATTCGGCCGCACAGCAGCAGCACGACGGCGATGCCATGGAGAAGCTTTTGTTGACACGAGCGCCACCCCGTCCCCTCCCCCTCCCCCGACTTTGAGTGAGCTGGTCTCCGTCAATAGAGTCATCTCTGCTGCCTGTTAGTCTGCTAGTGAGCGTGGCGGAGTGGGGAGTCGAGAGAGCTAGATGCATTTTTATGTAGGTATAATGATTACTCCACCCTGCCGGTAGAAATCCGAACTATTTTTAACAATTTTTTTAAAAAAATAACTTTACGGGAATCGTAATGTTTAGAATGAATGGCCAGTGCGGATTCCCCGAGATTGTTAGTTTAGGTTAGGTTAGGCGGCGCGGCCCAGCACACCTGGCCCTGCTTCGCTTTTCATGAGGCTGGACAGAATGGACTGGATATAGGCCGCCGGCTGATAGAGAGAGAGAGGGGGGGGGGAGACGCTTCTCGAAATGAGAATGTCCGCTGTCCGGACTGAATCGGCGGCCGAAAGCGCCGAAAGGCCGAGATTGGCAGCGAAGCGCGGGGCCGCGGCGCTAATGGCAGTGCAGGCGCCGCGAGGCCACAGCCAACACACTTGCCAACATTCCAATCCCAAACGTCGCCGTAGTTTTCCATCCCATTTCCGCCCCAAATCTAACTATGCGTCTGGCCTGCCTTGCGCCCTCGCTTTGCGCCCGCCCTCTCCCCCGACGCTCAAAAATTGACGACCACCCAAAAAAAGAGGGGGGGGGGAGCGTTATGGCGATGGGCTTCGCGGCTTCGCGGCGTGGTGGTGGAGCCGAGCGGCGGACCGCTTCGAGTCATCAGGGAATTACCTTAGTTTATTCGAGTTTATTGGGGCCGTCGGCCGGAGGGACTACGCCTGAGTGTGTCTCTGTGTGTGTGTGTGAGTGTGTGTGGCTGTGTGTCTGTGCGCGCGCGCGCCTTCCAGACAAACTACTGGAGTTAAAATACCGGAGCTGGCTTGAGCTGGAACTTAAGGAGAAAGGTAAAGCGCAGTGCCGGAAAGTTAAACCGCACTGGCGGACGAGGATTTGCACCCACACACACTCACACACACACATCTTCACCGAGGGACCCGCCTCACCAGTTCGATAAGTCACACAAGACTGTCGGATCAAAAATGGGGACAAAAAGTAGTTGTGGGGAGAGGAGTGGATCACACCAAGGAGTCAAAGTAGTTTCTCTTCCAGCGCGCGTACAATGCCGCAGCTCCATGAAAGACACTTTGGGGCCCCGCCCCGCCCTTTTCCCTGCACCCCGACAAAAAAGATGGCGTGGTATCCCTAGCGCGGGTCGGCGGGGTCGTCCGTAAGCAGCGATGTCCTTGATCGCTGCATTGCGACACGCCGCGCGCAAGTGGAGTGTCATGGCCGCCGACGCCAACGACGGCGGCGACGACGACCCTGTTGTTGGCAGCCCCGGTGCGGCTCGGTGCGGCTCGGTGCGGCTCGGTCGGGCCTAGTGATCCGTGAACGCGCTGGCCGTGTTCCGGGCGCTCGCCGCGCTCGCCGAGGAGTCATGGCCTCGGTCATGGCCCGGACGGCCTTCCGGAGGGCGGCGGCGAACGAGGCGGCGCGACGGCGCGACGGCCCGTGCCAAAGAAGGGCAAAAGAGGCGAGTGCAGGAGGGGCTCTGCAATGCTCTGCAAACGGCACTCATGAATATGGAAAGCCTTGCTTCGGCCGCCTGCTTCAGCAGCCAATCAAAGTCCCCTCCCCTGGCATTCCCTGACCTGGCGGCCCCGGCAGCCCCGGCGGCCCGGAAGACGCTCCGACCGGACTTCCGCTCTTCCGGGCCCGAGCAATCTCGGCCAATGCTGGAGAGGCGCTTTCGTCGCTCTGTCCCCCTCGCACCTGCACGGGACGCTCCACGAGTGCGAGAGAGACAGAGCGACGAAGCAGCCCGCAGACCCCGACGAGTGACGTCATCAGGAAAGGCAAGATGGCGATTGGCAATTCGTCCACCCCATCCACTAATAACGTAACGGTTTTTCACAGCCCTTGGACTGCTAGTGAGTGCGTCAGAGACAGAAGACGTTACTTAATAATAAGATAGGACTAACCCTTACTGGTGTCACCCTACCCGTGGCGGGCATGCCCCCATCAGTCGGCAGTGCAGGCAACCTAACCTCCAACCTTGCAGTGACGCTCCCACCCTTTTCCGGTGAAATTCAGTGTCCCCTAGAGCGAGTCCTCTCAGTGGAGCCTGGAGCGCGCGCTGGCGGTAGGCAGATGCCATCTAATCTAACCTAGACACGCCATTTGGCGCGGCCGTCGCCTTTTTTGTCTCCCTTTTAATGCACTTTCCCTCCGGGCCGTCCATACGGCCCGTAGTCCATACACCCGCGGTCGCGGTATCGCCGCGACGTGGCTGCCTTTGTTCGGGTCGCCATTGTCGCCTGGCCCGGCTGCAGCGGGGCTGCGGGGGCTGCCTGCCCTTCGGGTCCTTTGGGCCGCCTTTCGGCTGCCTGCCTCTGCCCTGCCCTGCCCTGCCTGCAATGCACACACCGCACGCGGGGCGTAGCGGGGCGCGGACAAAGTCTCACCATGTTTAAATGACGTCACACTTCGGCGGGCCCAAGTTTTCGGCCGTTGACGCGTGTGCCGCGGTGCGGCGCCCTGGCGGCGCCACGCCACTGGCAGTCCGCCCCGCCGTGCACGGCCGTGGCTCCACCGGCTCCGCAGTCAGCACTTCCCGCTAGCAGCCCTGCAGCCGCCTCGCTAGCCTCGCTCCAACGCCCTCGCCGCGAGCACCACTCAGCCCCCCCCCCTCCCTATAGTGCCGGAGTGCCAGATGAACAGCATGTTATTTGCCGAATTTGCAGTAATGCCGTAGCGAGCCCGGCCGCCTGGCCCGCCCGGCCGCACCGCCCCACCGGCACGGCTGCTCGCCCGATGAATGTTGCAGGAATTACTGCTCCCCGGGCGGACCTTCCCCCTCCCCTCCCCGCGCCGCGGCCGTGCGGGCCGTGTGCCGGAGCAGGTGGTGGCCTGAGGCAGCATGAGGCCCGCACAGGTGAACCGCGCGGCCCGAGCCGGGGTGTCATATTTACCGGGGAGGAGCTCGTGGACCCCCGCCCCCGCCCCCACCCCCTCCCGCTGCTCGCGCTGGATTATTTAGAGCAAGCAATAGACAAGAGGACTTCCCATCCCACTCTCCCCGCCACTCTCCATCCGGCAGCCCGCTCCTCCGACAAAGCAGGAAGGTCAAGTGCACCCCCTCCCCCTCCTCGGCGTGGTGTCCAAGGGCTTCCCCGCGACCTGCCGACCTGGAAGAACGCCGCGCCCGGAAGGGCCAGCAGGGCCGGCAGGGCCGGCAGGGCCGGCAAGGAAAGGCTTGGCGCCTGCAGCCTCGTCTTATTAGCCGCTGGGCCACAAAAGAGCAAATTTTCTTCTTCTTTTTTTTTTTTAAGAAAAAGAGGTTTTTACTGCGTTGCCGCCCGGTCGATCTCGCGCCGATGTGACCCCCGTCGACTGCACTGCACAGTGACGTCATGTCACGCGGCCCATCGCAGCGAAATGCTGTGCAGATCGTAATTTGCGCGGCTAATGGACAGGCAGCTGCGATCCATGGAAGGCTGAGCCTGCAGCCTTTACGCGGCAGGGACACTCAATGCCTTTGCACAATTTTCGCACGAAGTCCCACCCACACAATGTTGCGCATACGTGAACTTCGCACAAACTGGTACTACGAAATTTCGCATGAATTTGCGCGAAGTGTGCGATCCCCCCGGGAAAAATTGATCAAATACCTTCACTGTATTTGGACAAGACGTCGGTTGGATTCAATGAAACTTCTCGATTCCTCCTTGAAGCCGACAGCTTTCCAAGTCGCAATGCGTCGAGGAGACGGAAGCCCCTGCGAAATGACGGGTAGGCAAGCCCGCTGCACTTCGGTGCTGTGCGGCACAGGCGCTACCATTACCATTAAGGGCTGGGCCACACATGATCGTAGCGCCACGCGCTGTGCCTCCCGGTTCGAAAAGGGGGGGGGGGGTAGGGCGAAGGGAGCGCCGCCCCCTTTCTCCCCTCCCCCCTTTCTCCGGACCCGTCTCTGGATCCGCCCTTGGTGCCTCCCGTCCAGAAATGAGCGATCGTCCATCAGAATGATGCTCGGAGTGGAACGCATTTGCCGTGTTTGCCCGCCGTCTTGGACAATGCAAGACGAACAGCGTGGCCTCGCCTCGGGGACGCAGACCGACGCAGACGCGGCACGGGCACTGAGAGCTGCACAGAGCCTCCCGAGGGCGACCCAGTCAGGAAGGCATCCCTCCCAAGGCCCCAAGGCCCCCACCCCGCGACCACCTCGGCAACCACCACCCTACCGCAGACCACGAAAAATGACGCAAGCATTGTGTCCAGGTGTGGTGTGGCATTACTCGAATTGGGTCAGATGGCCTTCCCACCCTGCCTGCCTGTCTGCCTGCCTGCCTGCCTGCCTGCCTGCCAGTGCCCCACGCAGCATATTACAGGCGATGAATGTCAGCCTGGATCAGCACCACCCTTCACCCCAGAAATATCCCCAAGCCGCCATGGGCCATGGGCGCCATGGGCAGCAAATCCCCCGGCCGTGCATGTCGCCGTGCCGCCGTCCTCGCATCAGCCCCATGGCTCCATGGCGCCGCCGTGGCTTGGCTGAGGAGGGCCACGGCCATGAATGCGGAGCACCGCAAAGCATCGCAGTGTGCCCCGA